ACTCCCCTCCCAGAGCTGGGGAGAGAACCCAGGAGTCCTGGCTCCCAGCCCCCCCCTGCTCTAACCCCCCCCATTCCCCTCCTAGCGCTCTTGGCTGGGGGAGGGGACAGGGACTGGTGGGCCCCTGTAGGTAGAACCCCCTCCCCCCGCACAGCCCCGCAGCGGGGACCCAGGCGTCCGGGTTACCTCTAGCCATTCGGTGGAGCCGACCCGGCCAAAGTCTTCCGCGTCCCAGCTAGCGAAGAGCAGGGTGCGGCGGAGCTGGAAGCCTGGGAAGGGAAATGGACGGATGTGGGACGGGCGGGGGCAGGGCAGCTCCCGCCCCCACCAGTCCCGAGAACCCAGGAGTCCTGAGGTCCCTGGGGAACTTTGATCTCACCCCTTTAAGGAGGCCATCTTTTTCAACAGGCTGATGAATATTCCCCTCTCTGCTCTTGGTGGGCGCGAGGTCCCCACCCAGTGGCCACTGAGGGAATGACAGGGGAGGGGTGTTCCATGGAGGGACTGGCCCCACCCCCTGCCCCAGCTGGTGGCAGCCCCGCCCCCAGATAGCCCCGCCCCCTGCCCCACCTGGTGGCAGCCCCGCCCCCTTACCGTTGCGCACCATGGCAGAGAAGGTCCAGGCTAACTCGAGCAGCAGGGCCGTGCCCACGCCCGAGCTGGCCGCCCCCGGGCCCAGAGAGTCCCGCTGAGCACCGATGATCACATAGTGATCTGTGGGGCAGGGGGGAGGAGTCAAGGTTAGGGGGAAAGGAGACCCCCCCCTCGACAGCCCCATTCCCCCATCCCACACGCCTCCCGCCCAGTTCCCACACAGCTCCCCCAGGCCCACAAGCCCCAACTCTCTCTCTGCCCCACTGCCCCCACCCCATCCCCCCACCTCTCTGTGGCTCCCCATTCCCAGGCGCCCACCCCACTACAACCCACACACCCAACCCCCCAGCCCAGCCCCCTAACTGTCCCCCCAAAATCAATTCTCCCCCCCCGCTCTCCAACCCCCCCTCTCGCCCCATCCCCTCTCCCAGCCTCACCCGGTTCAAATCGCCCCTCAATGCAGCCGAAGACGTTACTGATCATGGTCGGAGTCTTCATGTTGTTCACCTGGAGATGCACCCGGACGCCTGGGTCCCCGGGCCCAAGGTGATACGGGACATCTGCCAGGCGGCCTTTCCAGTCCCGTGGGGCGGCCAGCCCTGTCAGCTTACTGGTGAGGGGGAGAGGGGGTCAGACCCTCCCAGAGCCGGGGAGAGAACCCAGGAGTCCTGGCTACCAGCCCCCCGTGCTCTGATCCACCAGCCCCCACTCCCCACCCAGAGCCCGGGAGAGAACCCAGGAGTCCTGGCTACCAGCCCCCCGTGCTCTGATCCACCAGCCCCCACTCCCCACCCAGAGCCCGGGAGAGAACCCAGGAGTCC